TGGAATAGATGTAGCAAGGTAGGCCTCTTGGGGTTTGACTAAATGGAATTAACTGAAGTAAGGTCATACCCTTCCAGAGGTGGTCAAATGTCATTCTCTTCAAAGCTGGTGTTCTCTTTGCCTTTTCCTCTGGCACTTTCCCATGAAGTGTTTGCTTTCAGACCGTCAAATGAGAAGTGACTGTTTTGATCACCTCATTTAATCCCACACATATCATGGCTCATCAGATTACAAAATCTTACTATTATGGAAATGGATGCTTCTTCAGTGATGGAGAAATGAGTACACCTCTGGCTCAAAGGTTCAGGAATAGCTGAAAAGCTGTAGCTGTCTCGTTAGACTGAATATAGCATTCATACTGCATGGAATCAATTGCTACATTGGAGAAAAAAGAACACAGAATTAGGCTGTTATCCCTTTGGATAAAGTATGGAAAAATATTAACCTAGAGGTTAGAAATGAGGTAGGCATTCAAATAGTCTCTAATGCTAAAAGTAGTGTAGCAGTGCAGCTGTGCAGTAGTTGAGCAATGGATGTAATGAAGTATCTACAATGGTTTTTATGGCCAGCCTCATCTTGCAGGCAAGGTTTTCCTCTTCAGGACAACAGAGGCTGAGCAGGTATACAAATGATAAGGCATGCACACAATGCCATCCCAATCCCACCCTGCTTTGGCCAGTGTTTCTCATCCTAACTCTGTTAGAAATACATCAACTGAAATCCTGCCCTGTGCCCCTCATTCCAGACTTAATGTATGAAGATAGAGGTTAAATGGGCCCATGTGGGATGAATTTTCACTTGATGCATCTCCCAAACTCTGTTCTCCATCACACTACTCTACCTAACAAGGAACCCAAAGCTGGCTGAGAAACACAGAATTACCTGGATTTATGAGACCTTAAAAATCTTCTAGTTTCAACCTCCCTGCTACAGGCAGCAATGCCATTCACTAGATTACATTGCTCAGGGCCCCATCCAATCTGGCCTTGGACACTTCCAGGGATGGGACATCCAATACTTCTCTGGGATTTCTAGCTTCCTGGAAAGCAGCAGCTTAAAAAAAAAAATATTCTACTCTAAGTCTCAGCTGCCTGAAGTCAGCCTAAACTCATTTTCAACAACCAAGCTACTTCAGACTCCCTCCTCTCCTCACACTATTTGATATGTTTAGATTCTTAATTCAGTACCAGCCAGGAAGAGGAAATGTTAATAATTACCCCAATTTTCAATCACTATAACTGATTTTTCAAAGTAGCACGTTCACGAATTTCCTCCCTTTATGTGACTAGAAGCTGAAGAGTGAAACTCCACGCGGGCAAACACCAAAGCTGCTCTGAAGCCCTGCAGAGCAGCTTAGCAAAACAAAAAACTGAGCTGCATCACTTGCTCTGATCTCACACCTCGTGCTCATCCAGACCCAGAGCACACAGCTGAGGTCACTGCTCTCCTGTGCAGTTCATAGGGTGAATGTTTGCAATAACCACTCCAACCTGGCACGAAGCTCCCAGGAAACTATGAGGAAACAGAAGCCTTAACAAATGGAAACAATCAATATAGAGAAAGAAAGGCTAGTCCTGACAAGGATTTACAGGACCATCTCACAAAGAAAGCCTTGGAGCCACACACAGCCTGAAAGCCAGTGCAGAAGCACAGCAGCCTCTGCCCTGCTCTGTAGGATGTGGGGATGCTTTTAGGCACATGACTCCAGTGCTAGTTCCTCATGGAGTACAGACTGTTTCTGTGGTGCAGAAATGACAGAAGCAGCAAATACAGCTCCAGAAAAGCTTCAGAGCATTCCCTTCCTCTCTCTCCATAAATCCCTCCTTACTGAAGGACACAGGTGACACAGACACTCAGGGTGCACAGTGACAATGAAGGGACTGTGTGGTTCCACACAGCTGGATTGAGTGGCTGTCCTTCAACACCTTCCAGCTGCTTCAGATAAGGGCACAGTGCAGCAGCCCAAGTGCTGGTACCCTTTAAATAGTTTTCCTCTAACCTCTAGGATTGACATTGTATTTCATAGGGGTCTGCCAAGTGTTAAGGCACACTGCCATGTTATCCCACACTAACACAGAAAGGATTAAGGAACAGTCAGTGACAATTAGTAATGTTCACCTTTTCCACTGTTTCACATTTTTTGTGTTCTACATCTTTCTTCAGTTTTCTGTAGGGTCGTCTCCATCTCTTTTATTTTGCAGAATGCTTAACCAATTCTTTTAAAAATTTCTGATTTGGCCTTACAATTTACTTTTCTTTGTTATTTCCTCCCCACTTTCATAATAGTCTGTAATACATATTTAAAATGTTAAAAGCGTGCAAAAGGGTTTTTAGAAAACAGGACAATAAGGACCAAGGTTTCCTTACCATATCAGATGAGTAGCCCAGCCTCCCCTGTCTATCACCATGTAAATCATTACTTGTAAATGTGGCAGTCTGGTCAAATGCCATGTTCAAATCTCCCAATTTAGATTCTTTATGGTGGATCATTTCAATGTAGAATTGAAAGACATAAAATGCCAGACCTGTATATGTTTTTTATAAATCTTAGAGTGTCTTCTACCTCTGCAATATCTGAACACAAACCTGATTCTTGCTCAGGGCAGTAATCCCACAGGATTAAGTCATACTGTGAATACCAGACAAATTACAATCGGATTAGATGGGCAGTCTGTTCATTTTCTCAACACAGCTGTACTCCAGAGTCTTTTCACCACTGGTGTCTATTTATAACATGAATGTGTTTTTCTTAAATAAATGAACACAGCTTCAATTTCATATCTCTCTTGTTCTTACTATTTGTGGTCAATAAGGAACAGATTTCTATTTCCTAAGGAACAATGAGAGAGTGCTCCTTGAGAGGCCAACAAGGCTGCTCTTGGTACAGATCTGCAGGACAAGATTTAGTTTAAATTTATCAGTGAAAAGTCTTTTGAAAATTTTGCATTCAATTTCAGTCAAGCAGAATTTTAGAATATAGCAAATATATTCTGGAGATAGGTTTGAGACAGCAGCACAGACATGCTGAAATTACCCAGATTTGCAATATTCACGGCAGGAATTTCTCCAGGTTCCAAACTTGCTTACACTGGTGAGAATACAAACCTCACTGAGTAGAACTAGTGTAGCTTGGGATTTACAGGGGATTTCTGCTCGCTTATGAAAAGGAAGTATATTTAATAATGTTTGGTATTACCTGCCAAAATCTTCCTAGCATTTCACTGAAATTATTTATAAATGTCACATCACATCCTTCATAATTGTTCCCAATTACAAGAATCATCTTGCCTTTTAGATACAAACTTGCTTCCATCCAGCACACAAATCCGGTGTTACTGTAGTTTTACTACTGCAATCAATTAATGAAACCCTACTAAAACATGAAGCTGAGACTTCCATAAAACAGGATTAATGACTACAGGCCATGAAAATACTAAAGGCAAATTAAGCAAACTGCTGCACCAACTAGTATCCTCTTGCTAACTCTGTTCTCACCTTCACCTTCTGATTGCAGAGTTGTTATTCCTGATGTGCACAGAGATAAATAAGAATAACACTGAGGCTGGAGAAGTGGAGCCAGTGAGTCAGGAGGGATGAGCTGTAGGCCAGCCTAACCCATTGCTACCAAGCTTCTCCATTCTTACAGACAGGCATGTCCTCACTCAGCTTCAGAGGTGAGGCAGACAACTCTGCCCGTGGAAACCCAGAGGGGCTGTCCTGCTGAGCACCCTGATCATGTCCCAAAGTGCTGTGACCACACTGTGATGGGTGACACAACAGAGTGGCACAAACACAACCTGAAACACAGTGTGGTATTCACTTCTCTTCCACAGTGATACATTACCCTGGAAACCAGAACACTCTTTTATCAGGAATAAACCAGTGCAGTTTATCATACATAGAGCTGTCAATAGCTGTAATATAGTACCTACACAAACATGAGATCAGCTGTTCTCCAAAGACAGCTTTTTCATTAGGCAGGTGTCAACAATTCAAAGTCACAAACAGATTTTACTGAAGTGTAGGAGAAAGCATCCCAAGTCTGCTTTGCACTGAAACAGGAGGTGTTAGAACGACCTTCCACTGCAGGACACCCACTGAACAGGAACATTTTTGCAACAGAAATACTGGTGCCTAGTTCTGCTTTCACACATGTGACTCCCGTTGATTTCAAAAGGAGTTTCCATATTTCACTAGCTCAGAAGTACACGGTGTACATGGTGCAAACCTGAATGCATACAGAACATTGATTTTATGACACAGCATATGACAAGTGAATATTGGCTTAAGGTTTTCCTGCACAGCCTCCTTCTGTGCATTCCTTCCTGTGCGGGTTTATAGGTTATGTGCATTACAGGTTTGATGGTTTTCAGATCAATTCACAGCACAACCTTCTAACCAGACACCACCAGCCCAGCTGAAAGAGATATTCCACAGCACAGCATGGAAGGAGAGGAATGGTTTACACAGAATCACAGAATATTCAGGTTGGAAAAGCCCTCCAATATCATCAGACTTAACCTTTAACCCAGGCTTAACCAAGGCTAAGCTGGTACCTTTGGTTGTCATCATATTTTCTAGGATTTCTGGTCAAGTTAAGGGCAATCAGTGGATCTCTGCAAATAGCCCTCAACAGCTACTGTTTGGTTATTTTGCTACAAGCTGCTTAGCATCCATCAAGAAAGGAAGGATGTGGCAAGGGTGGAAGATTCCCAACTCACATGGAACCTTTACAGCTGTAGAAAAATTAATGAGAACTGACTCTTTTTGCAAGACCAAGCCATGAATTGTACTTCTAAGAGCAGTATGGATACTTAAAAACCTTAGAAATATAAGAATATGAAGACTAAAGCAATAATAATTTTTCTTTTCATTACAGGAAATTTCCATAAGGAATTCAGAATTCTGAGTTATTTAATTTTTGCGAGAATTTGATTTAGAAAAGTAGAGTAGCAGATATTATTACACTAAGATGAGCAAAAATGACATCAAGGACTTACTTTCTGCAGGTTCCTTAGATCTTCTGCCACTGGAGGATTTCCTCAGGAGACTTCTTCCTGAGGTGAAGAGGCTGGTTAGCTCCTCCAGAGGACTGGTGGGTGTCCGAGAGCGGGAGCTGCTCTGAGATGATGACCCGTAGGTGCTGACTGACACACTCACCATCTTCCCTCCTTCTTGCAATGTGTTTCTGGCTGTAGAATGAGGCACTGATGGAGAGCTTCTTGAGAGACTTCCTGAATGTACAGAGTCATAAGGTGGAGGTCTTTTGAGGCTTAAGGGGGTAAGAGACCTACCCATACTGACAGGAGAAGGTGAGGCAGAGTGACTTTTAGGATAACCATGTGGAGACTGCGTTCTGTATAAGGTAGAAGGATGAGGAGGTGAGGAGGTGTGCCCAGGGGTGCTAGTTCCATGAGATACTGTCTGGTCTTTCTCCAGTTTTTGATGGCCTGGTGTGTGAGGTGGCAGTGAAGATGGAGAAGCTCCAGCTTGCTGTTTGATGTAAGACACATTTTCTAGGACGGGAAGCTTTGTGACCTCTAGTGGAGTTAGAGGAGACTCGTCAGAATTCGGGGAACACTGCACTGGCGCTGGTGGGAACACCAGCAGTGGAGGTCTGTGAGAGAGCAGGTTTGGAAATGGCGGGGGTATGTCACAAAGCAAGCCCTTGGGAGTAGATGGCACTGGAGACTTGGAGAAATCGAGGTCAGGCACTGTGGGAGTAGCACACTGAGAAGAACAAGTGTGATGGTCATATTCACATTGACATTTTGAGTCTTGGCCTACATCATCAAATATAGGGTATTTCATCTCCTCATAGACAGCTTCGCTTTGGTCATCCTCATCTTTTTTGAAGTCTCTGAGAATATTCCCAACCATTTCAATATAAACAGGCTCCTCTTCCTCTGTGTCTGGAGCAGGACTGCTGACCTGCGAGAGCGAGGCATCCCTAGTGAGGGTTGCCTTCATAGGGCCATGCTTTTTGATATAAGTTTCATCAAAAGATGTGCTTAGCTGAGTGTTTGGATTTCGTTTCGGCTTAGGAGGTGGAATCTTCTTTGTATACTCATCACTGTGAGGTCTTGGTTTGGCTGACACTGAAAACAGAAAAGAACACAAACTCATCAGAAGCTGTAACACACCTTATCAACCATAGGGTCTCTGTTACAGAGCCATAATTCTGGAATGGATTTCCTGGGACCAGCTTATTGCTGGTTATCTCTGGTATTACATCAATAGAACACTATAAAAATAACACTCAATTCAAAACTCTCCTAGACTTCCCCCAGAATGCTTTGACACTCCAGGATTAAGTAACTAGTGAGCACTTCCCTTCCTCCGAGACATCTGTTCTTTCCCAAACTCTTTGGGACAGGGGACTTTCCATTTTTAAATATTCTTCTTTTCAAATATCACTGTGGGATTTTAAAGACCCAAAGAGTTGCGAACAACATAACGCTAAATATCAAAGTGAACTCCTTTTGACTCCGAGAGAACACTTAAGGTCCTGGACAGTCATACTGGAATGACAGTGAGGTAACTCTGCAGTGACAAAGTGATGAATCAAGACCTTTTTATTCATAGTAACTTCTTGCATAAAGCACCACAATTGTCTCAGTACTAACACACAAGCAAAATACTCATACACAAACTAAAATCTGCTGTTGGGATAATTCTAGTGATTTATCTGGACTCTATTATGTTAGAATGTCATCAATCTCTTCATGAGATTTCTGTGAAGTCAAGGAATAACAAAGTATCTCACAGATTTGGATCCTTTCTACACTGGTTACTTACAGAAAAACCTTGTCTTTGAAATTATAAATCAAAACATTGTGATGAAATTCATTTGAAATGAGAGGTCAAGGGTTTCTTGGAAATTATCCTTTATGAATTAAACAATAAGAAAACTCATGCAAACTGCATTTTGTTCACTTTGCATAAAGAGCTAATAAAACATCTCATTAAATGTTAGGGTTAATAAAATGCCTCATTAAATGTTTAAGTGAAGTCAGCTTTTATCTTAAGCAGACACAACAAACTTGTTCAGAAACAAATTTATCACATACACTAAACCTAGCTTATGTTTCTAGAAGGCAATTGATACCTCACTGCTAAGTTCCCCAGTTCAAACAAACACACACAGAGACCTAAACTAGTGGCCAGGTTAGAATGGCAGCTTTCCTGCCTTTCCAAATTTTGCTGCTCCTTGTAATTCACTACTGCATATCTGCCAGTTTGAATTCAATGCTCAGAGAAATCTCCAGACACCTTCTGCTGACCCGTCAGCAAAAAGCCAGCAAATGTCGATGCTAACCCAGGCAGGCAGCACTCACAGAGTTGAAACCTCTCCTTTTGAAACAGCCATGAACACATTCCTAAAGCCAGCAGTGAGGCAATGCTCTGCCAGCTCAAAGACAGAATTTTGAGTCTGCAGGATGCTGGCTCAGAGCTGGATTAAAGCACCTGCATTACAGCACCTTACTAATGTGGTTTGGTCACTATCAGAGGAGGATTCAAACAGTGTTATCACTTTGTCAAACTCATGCTTTGATCTGCTAAATAACTTCTGTTCAATTCCCACAAGGTGTAGCAGTAAAGGCAGATGATGAACAAGTTTTGTTCAGGAATAAGGAGCTGTGGATGTGTACATGTACAAAGTAATGAGACTACTCTTTGTTAGTAGCATTTGTTTTAGCTTAACACATAACTAAGGTACAACAAAGCAAAAAAGAAATGAAATCTTGCCAGAACTAAAAGGAACAAAAAAGACTCAAAAAATCATATTATACTTTCATGATGGTTCCAATTAATGTGATCCACTTTGCAGCAGGCTAGGGACATGCAAAAGCTACCACAGATAAGAGTGTTTGGTAGCTTGATAGTTTTTCACCATGTGGATATATCCTAATGCATTTTAAATTTGTCTTTTTAATTAACCCAAATTAATTTTCTTGAATGTATTAAGCTAGACTTTTGGGAATAAGATGTAGGCTACCAGAATCATTTGGGCTTTGCAGAAAATATTACTTGTGATGTATTTGACAATACTGGCAGATTTTTCTTACCTGCTTCCAGCTAAATCACTATTTCATTTCTGTTTAGTGTCTTATTTGTATATTATGTTTTTATATATTCTACTAGCATAAACTTGATCTCAGTCCTCTCTCCAACCTCTGCTAATCTGATTTACAACTCTGTCAAAAGCAATCTTATTCAGATTGCTGTCATTAAAATGAAGAGACAGCCAATGAAACTGGCACAAACTGCCTTATCATTTGTGAACATGTTGTACATGACCCAAACTCTACTTCAGCTACATTTGAAAATTCTGTGTTTTGTAAACACAGGCTTCTAACAGTCTTCAGTTCCCTGTGCATCACACTGCCATCACAACGGGTACCTGAGAAAGGAACATTTCCTGCTCCTCTGCTTCCTTAGATCCCTGTTCCCAGTGCTGCCTTTTACATCTTCTGAGCCACAGGTGCCATGCTGAGAATGGCTCTGTCATACAGCCACAACCCCACTCTTTGATGTCTTTATCAGGATGGATGTTAATGATCACAAAATAATCAAAAGCTGAGTTACTCTTGTGCTGTGGTCATTCAAGGCTAACTGATATTTTTTCTAAAACCTGTCAAAAGTGGTCAAAAGTACTGTGGTTTTAAATTGCTAGAAAAAACTTATTCTCCTCTTCCCTCATTCAATTTTCACAATTTTTATCCAGCTGAAGAGGTTCTACTACACTGTCTAAACCTGTCCTTGGCTGTTGGAGTTCCTATATACAACATCCACAGGTTATTACATTACAAATGAGGAAATGAGAAATGTCAAGGAAAAACAATTGACATTCTGCCATCCAGTCTTGTATTTTTGCATGGGTTGAAATTAAGTACCACAATGACACACAGAGCCTCATCTGCCATTGCATGATATGTAGCACTAGCCTAGAATATATTGGTGACATTATCAACAAAAAGGTCAAATGACCCAGTTCTGCTGTATGAGACAGGGTAAAACATGACAAGGTGATTTACTTTCCATTTGCTATTTAAAGCATTTTTCCTCTGCTCTAGATTTTTACTAAACCATCTATTTCCAGGGTGTGTTACTGAGATCTTTTCCCCTTCATGACAAATTGGGCTTTTCAAACTAAAATTTTAAACTAAATTGTTTAAATATTTTAGAAACCTTAAAAGTTACCTCCTATATGGTCCTCAGAGCATGAACATCTGTTGCTATAAGACTCACTAGAGAAAGTACACAGGTAAATGGATAGACTTAATAACAAAGAAAGGTTTTTTATCATTACTAGGAACAGAGGAACTGTTCAAACCCACTAGGAACTCCCTCAGGTGCAGGAGGACATTCAGGAGGCAAACTGAATTATCTTTAAGAAGTCTGTGGTGCAAGACACTTAAATTTATTTAACAACAGTTTCTACTCTGAAACACAGCTCCCTGGCAAGGGCTGAACTCTATAGCACACCCGTAAATGGAATATGAACCATGAACTACTGCTCCAGCCCAGAACAAGAGAGAAAAGTAGCAGGAATCCTGCAGCTAAACAAAGCTGTGCAAAGCCAATGAAAGGAGCAGGAGTTTCCGGTGTTACCAACATTTGGCAGGGATAGATGTGCATGAATGGAGAAGCCCTGGCAGGATCCCAAACCCAATGAAAGGAAATGATTTGGCAATCTCCAGATAAGAACAGGCAGGGTTGCTTAAAGTACTTGACATTTATCAGGCAGAAGAAGCATTTGGTGCCTGCTGGGAACATAAACTTCTATGAAAAGTGAACCATGCTGGCATGTTGGTGATACCCATGCTGCCATGTTGTCTGCTCTAAACATGGAGTAATTAAGTGCTTTCCAACATGAATTACTATGTCCTTGATGAAACTGTTGCCTGTAACTTGTATTGTGACTCTGCCACTTGTATGCATCATACACGGGTCCTGATCCAAAGCCAAGTGGAAGAAATCAAAGTGAGAATTGTTTCTTTCCCCACCAGGTGCAGCTTTCCTCAAACATCCATCTCAGAGGGCACCACAAACCTCTTGTGAGTGCTTCTATTACAGACACACAAGCACAAGAGAGCAGGCCTGTGGGGAGGTTGAGCACAGGGGACATGCTCAGGGAATGATGCTCAGCACCTGCTCCATGGGCCTCTGTCCCCACTGGAGCTGCCCTGGGAGCTCTTAATGCTGTGCCAGCACCTCCTTGTTTGCATCAGAGCCACCCAAAATACCACAGCTGATAACCTGGAGGCACAACAACCCTTGCGAACAATCCTGCTGCTTGAGCAGGAACTCTGTGTGCTCAGTAGGGCACTATCCAAGCAGCTATCTGGTTCCAACAAGCTTTAAGGGAAACGAGATGCAGCTCTGGTAACTCCAGGTCTCATCTGGAAGCAAGAAGCACAGTGCTTAAAATAGCCTCATGGAAGCCCTACTGTATAAGGAGAACATGACATTTTTGAAATGAGATATTTGTAGTGCAAAGGTTATGCATAACTTTTAGACATACACAGATAATCTCCCTTTCATAGTTAATTTTAGAAATACAGAATGATTCTCTTATCCTTCTGAAGTATATTTTTATTCTTTAAGGAGACACTGAAATATGAAAATATGTTGTTAGATTGTTGTTTATTATTTGCTCACTGCACAAGGAATGAGTGAAAACATCTAAAAATTAAAATTTGTCATTTTATATTGTCTTTTGTGTATTTTCCAGCTTTTGCATTCCACAGACCACTCCAATGAATTTTTCTGTTCACTGTAACAAACAGAATAAAACCACAAACAGGAAAAACGTTCCCTTTCAATTTCCATAAGAGATTATGTGCTTCTAAAAGTGCTTCTACTGAGTTAGATTTCATTATCTCTGTAGATGAAGTTTTAATAGTCTTAGTGAAACAAATTTTTAAAAGACACAGTTGTCTGAACTGCGCAAAAGATTGACACTCAGGAGACCTAAGTTTAAATCATCTCTTTTCACCTATCATTTTACCTCCTAATGCCACCTTTCAATATTTCTCTTCTGCCTTCTTATACTTCTCTTATGTTAGGCTCTAAGGTATTTTACACAAGGTTT